GGGAGCAGCCGGGGATCGAACCGGCGCCACAGAGGCCGCGGGCAGCTTCGCAACCCAGTGCTCAACTGCTGCGCCACCGGGGAGGCCCGCAACTTATTTATTTATTTAACTTTTTTTTTTTTTTTTAAGATTTATTTATTTATATAAGCACTGGGTAGTCAGAAGCGCGGGAGGGTGAGAGAATTCACCAGAGCCAGAGCGGGGAGCAGAGCAGGCAGAAGGACCAAACAGTCGGTGGCAGGAGAGGTCTGCACGCCATGCTGGACCCTCCTCTGGTGGCCAGGGAGCAGCTGGGGATCGAACCGGCGCTGCAGAGGCTGCGGGCAGCTTCCCAACCCAGCGCTCAACCGCTGCGCCACCGGTGGAGGCCCTGCTAATTATTTTTTTAGAAGATTTATTTATTTATGCATACAAGTGCTGGGGTACAGGCCAGAGATGCCGGGGTAAGAGGATTCACCAAAGACAGAATGGGGAACAGAACAGGCAGATCAACTGAAATACACTGCTGAGGGGAGCAGCGGGCGACTCAGGGGACATCTGCTGCACCATGTGGGTTGTTCCCTGGCTGGCCGGGGATAGAACTCGTGCTTCAGAGGCTGCAGATCGCTTCGTAGTGTGGTGCTTAACCCCTTGCGCCAGCAGGGAGGTTCCAGATGCAATTTAAAGTTATGAGATTGGATGAGATCACAAGGGAGCAAACATAAATAGAGAAGAGGAAGAAAGACTGAGCTCAGGAGTCCCCTAACAGTAAGTGGTCAGAAAAATGAGGAAATGTGGAAAGAGCCTGAGAAGGAGTAGCTAGTGAGGCTGGGAGGAAAAAAAAGAGAGAGAGGGAATATGGTGACTTGGAAACCATGTGAAGAAGGATATCCAGGAGAGATCAACTGTCTTAGGTGCTGCTGATAGGTCAAGAAAGAAATGAATGGTGAATTTACTACTGGATTTAGCAAGAAGGAGGTCACTGACAACAAGAAGAGCAGTTTCTTTGGAGTTATAGGGTAAAAAGCCTGATTGAGGTGGGTTATAAAGCAAGTGGGAAGAGGTTTGAAGACAGCAAATAAAGACAACTTTAAAAGAGTTGGCTATTATAGGGAAGAAAGAGATGTAACAGAAACTGGTGAAGGAACAGAGAAATTTGTCTTTCTTTCTTAAGAGAGAATTAGTGGTATTTTGCATGCTAAATTTTGAAACTGATCCAGTGGTGGTTGAGAAATTATTATGTAGACAAAGGGGGCGGGTGTGTGTGTGGCTTTTTGGAGCAATATCCTTGAGTTGAGGAGATGGAATCTAGTGCATAACTTCAGTGTAAGAGTATTCTTCTATCATAATTGGTGCAGAATCTGGAATGGGGGTAGATGTGTTAGTGAAAATCTGTGAGATTTATAAAGGCCTGCAAGGCGGAAAACAAACAAACATATAACAAAGGATTAGGAACCAGAATGGCTGCAGATTTCTCAATGGCAACACTAGAAGCTAGAAGACAAGGGGTCAAGGCCATTTAAAACCTAAGAGAAATAATTTGTAACTTACAAATTCTATATCCAGCCAAATTATCATTAACTTGAGGATGCATTTTCAAATGGATAAGGTGTGCTGGTTATCTTCTATTCCTCCAGATCCAATCTCCACCCTTTGCTACCCTTCTCTGTGTGAGGGAGGTAGACCTGCTGATTGCTTCACTTGAATTCTCCTTTCCATTTGGCTTCTGGTTGGTTTTGGTCAATGTGAGACAGTGGGTGGATACCAGAGGGTAGAAAAAGAAAGTCACAGATCTCTTTGGGCACCCCTTTCCTATAGCTATAGCTCTCTCTGGATTCTAGTAAACATGTCTTCCTCTTTTTCTTTTAGGGCTAAAGCCTCCTGCTCTTGCTAGCTCAATCTCTTAATACTGTTCACAACTTTGTAAATAGTTTCTTCATTAAGTTTTTACCTAGCATCTCCTTAATAATGCTGCTTTTTTCTTAGCCAGACGTAGATTGGAAACATGGGGCTCCAAAAATGTATTCATACAACTTTTTTCATAAAACTATTGGAGGAAGTTCTTCACTAAAATAAAAAGTGAAAGATGACACAGGAATGAGACAAAGGGAATCCCCAGAACAATAGTAAAAGGAGACACCAGGATGACTGCTATGTATTAGCTATGTACAGAGAACAACCAATTCAAGTTGGAGTAGATTAGAAAATTCTTAAAGAAGTATTCAAGATGAAACTGTTAGACTACCCAAGAGGAGTTTTATACAACTGGGTAAAGAATTTGAGACTGAGGTCTCCCTGGTGGCACAAGGGTTTAAGTACCGCACTATGAAGAAATCCACAGCCTCTGTAGCACGAGTTCGATCCCAGACCAGCCAGGGAGCAACCCACATGGCGCAGCAGACCTATCCTGTCTCATCCGCTGCTCCCCTCAGCAGTGTATTTCGGTCAGTCTGCCTGTTCTGTTCCCCACTCTGTCTCTGGTGGATCGTCTCACCCCCGGCTCTTGTATGCATAAATACCCCAGCTCTTGTATGCATAAATAAATATTTTTTTTTAAAAAAGAATTTGAGACTGAATTGGAATTAAGGAATTAGAAAACTAAAGAAAAAACCAAGACTGTTGTTAATTATAGATGTAACAAAAAGTTGGCCAAGAAAGAAAAGTAATCATATATAGGAAATGGTTCAACCATGAACAGCATTTATGTAACAAAAATTCCAAGGGACTGCTGAATTCTTTTCTTTTATAGACTTCCTATAAAATGTATAGGTTCTCTATTTTTGCTATAGAGTAATTTCCACAGAAGGTATTTAACATAACAGAAACCGAAGTTGCCAGGACATTTACTGTAACATGATTTGACCTAGGCCATTTGGCAGTGTGGAAAAACAAAATCTTGGTTCATCCACTTCTGACCTATGTGACCTAGGGTAAGTTACTTAATAATTTCGCTATTTCCTTACAAAATGTGAGGAGTAGAAATCAAAACACAGAATGCTTGGCACATAGTAGGCATTCATAAATGACCACTCTCAACATTCATAAATGTCACTCTTGGAACAATACTGGGTAGGTATATTATAAAACAAGAAATATAACTGTCATCTCAATATAAGTAGGTAGTTGAGCATCTAGAAGTCACAGGGCATTATAAGTCTGACACTATTTTGAAATTAATACTTCCCAGACTAAATAAGTGTGATTTGGAACCGACAACTCTGTATATAAACAAAATTGAAGAAAAACTGTTCTGAGGAGAAGAGGATTGAGGGAGTGACATACAGACAGTGAATTAACTCTCAGAGGAACCAAGGGCAGTTTACAGTGCTCCTTCAAAGCAGCAACTTAAAGACCCAGGTTCCCCTGAAGTTCCCATCCTGCTTGGCACCACTGAAAGCCTGGAACCCCAAAATAAGTTCCTTCCTGAACCACACAAAGGAAGAAACAAAAGATGAGTTTTAGTTGCAGGGGTTTATTAGGCCCATCAATTCCAGGGATTGGTCAGGTATAAGTGGTTTGAAAGGTAAAGGGAAAAAAGCAATCATCAATAATAAATGTGTGTTGAGCACTTGTTAGTGACTGTTCTAAGACATTTTACATGAATCATCCCATGTTATCTTCATAACAACTCTAGGTGCGTTTATCTCTATTTTACACAGGAAACACACTCAGAGGTTAAAGAAATTGCCTAAGGTTACACAGCCAGAAAGCTGATAAAGCTGGGTCAGAATTCAGATTTGCCAGCCTCCAAAACTGCAGTACTTACGTATAGCACATACAGTCTTCAGCTGTCTTTAGCTGTCTTTAGCTGTGGATTTTCTCCCTAGCCTGACAGCACTGATCAAATCATATATTAGCAAGTGATCTTCAAATATGAAATGACAGCAATAGTGTACAAAGGCCAGACTATTTAAAGCAACTGCGCTTACAAGGTGTACCAAGGCTAGCGCCTTAAAACCATCAGCTCTTGGATCTGGAGCTAAGACATTTTAATATATTTAAGCAGGAAAGCTCTGACAAAAGGAGAGTTGTTTGGGGGCTACTTTGGGTTATTTCTTTTCCATCTGTGTATTCCCAGTAAGTGCTGACTGAAAGGATGGCTGACTTATGTAGTGAGTCTTTTCAAATCTCCCGCGGAGCATCTCTTACAAGACATCGAGGCTTTTACAGCCGGTTCAGTCATCACTTTGTCACGCTGCTGCTGCAGCTTGACACGCTTCTGAGGTGGACTAAAGTTGGGGGGACACGCCGCCACCTGAAAAAGCAAAGAAAGTCCAGAAATCGGGGCCTCCCTGGTGGCGCAAGGGGTTAAGCACCGCACTATGAAGCAATCCGCAGCCTCTGCAGCACAAGTTCGATCCCCGGCCAGGGAGAAACCTCATGGTGCAGCAGACCTCTCCTGTCTCGCCCACTGCTCCACTCGGCAGTGTATTTCAGTCAATCTGCCTGTTCTGCTCCCCGCTCTGTCTCTGGTGGATTCTCTCACCCCCCACATCTCTGGCCTGTACCCCAGCTCTTGCATGCGTAATTTAAAAAAAAAAAAAAAAAGATAGTCCAGAAATCCCAGGCCACATAACACTCCAGACCCCGCTGCACAACTGCCTCTCCTGCGTCAGGGTGATCCCCGTCTATGTCGGCGCCCGTGAAGCGCGGGTGTAGACGAGGGCCCCCCCGAACTCAGCCTGAATGGTGGGTGCGTCGGCAATGACAGTGCAGGAATTCCGCGCCAGCTGCGGAATCGGTAGACCCAACAGAAGAGAGGGAGGGAGCACTGTTCATCTGACACACCCCAACCCGCTCGGCAGCAGCCCAGGGCTACGGGTGTGGCGGCGGGCAGCGCCTCAGCACCGCGAGCTCGGAGGAACTGGGGATGCAGCGGAGCTCTGTGGCACTGGGGCCCGCGCATGCGCATGCCCTCCGCGCCCGCCGGCCCGTGGCGCACGCGCAGTCGGTCCTCGTTCCCTCCGTCGGTACGCACAGGGCCCGGGGCTCCGCCCCCGCAGGCCCCGCCCTGCTCCCGTGCGCCGAGCGCCCCATATCCGGGTTCCCGCCGCCGCTGCAGCCGCCGGCGCTCCTCGCTCATTCAGCTTTGCCGGGAGTGGCGTGATTCCCGTCCAAGATGGCGGCCGTGGGGCGAGTCGGCTCCTTCGGGTCCTCTCCGCCGGGCTTAGCCTCGACTTACGCGGGCGGCCCTTTGGCCAACGAGCTCGCATCGGGCAACGGCGGCGCCCCCGCGGGCGACGACGAGGACGGGCAGAACCTCTGGTAACGACCCCACCCCTCCCCGGACCCCCGCGGGCGCTCGGCCCTGCGGACGCCCCGGGATCCCAGGTCCGCCGGGGCTCGGCGCCGGGCCCAGGCCGCCGCGTTCTTGGCAGCCCCCGCCGGGCGCGAGAGCGCTGGCCCGCCCCCCCGCCCCGGCCCCCGCCCCGGCCCCCGCCTCAGCGTGCGCCTTGCTCCCCGTTAGGTCCTGCATCCTCAGCGAGGTGTCCACCCGCTCGCGCTCCAAGCTGCCCGCGGGGAAGAACGTGCTGCTGCTGGGTGAGTGTCCCCTGCCTCGCTGCGGTCCGCCCGGCCCCGCCCCGGCCCGGCCCGGCTCGGGGCCCGACCCGCCCGCCGGTGCGCTTTGTGCGGGCTGACCCGCCCGGCCCCGCCCCGCCCCGCCGCCGGACCTGCAGCTGACAGCTGGGGAGGAGGTGCGGGGGGGCCCTGCCCCCCGACCTGCAGGCACCCCCGAACCCCTTCTCTGCTGGTCGTGGGGTGTGGGGGGGCCCTGTCAACCTTCCCCTGGGAAGGACGGAATGCGATCACCCTTGGGAGGCGCTTCACTGACTTAAGGTTTCCCTGGAAAATAAGGACGGGTTTTCTTTCATAACAAGAAGAGGTAGCAGGAGGCTCTTCGAAAGAGCTCCAGTGCAAATGGCATGCCATTAATATTTAATAGCTGACTCTGTGTAATTGACAGAGAAGAGAGAATTGAGATCTAGGAGTCACGATGAATGTTCTTATTTAATTCAGCTTTTTCTGATACCATGGGTTCGTGTTTGCAGCTTTGAGCTGTCACTTAGAAAGCTGAAATTTGTAGAGGGTAAGAATAGACTAGAACACCTTGGTTGTTCAATCCCTTCAGCCAGATGGATGTAACAAAGAGAAGTGGTCACATTTCTTAGTTTTCTTAATTGTTTTGTATCTCCTCTGTTCTCTGGAAGTTATTTTGTCTCTTTACTGATGCTGGGGGTGGGCATAGAGGATAGTGAGGAAGAACAATTTATAGGTTCACATTTTTGCAGGCTTGCCTCTGAGTCATTTACAAAGAGCAATTTCTTCCATATTCTTTAAATGTGAGATACTGACGTTTGGCTAGAAAGATGATTCAAGTTTAAAATGTTGGTATTGGCATCCTCAGACCATTTTTGGTTACATTCACCTAACAACAGAAAGGAAACAAAGAAGTCAGATGCAGCTTGACAGGATCTAGGAATGCATAGACAGAAACAAATTACTGATTTTTTTTATCAACTGCTGCCAATCCAGAATGTGTAATTCTTTACTTTCTTTAAAGTTATATGGATCTAGTTGAAAATTTAGATTTTAACTAGTTTTTAAATGTGATTAAAAGTACCCTCTACGTATTAACATTCATCCCATCACGGCCTAACACGCATTAGCCCTATGATCTTAAACAAATTGATATTGACAAACCTTCATTTCTTAATCTTTAAAATGGATGCTATAGAAATAATGCCTACCTCCTAGGATTATGGAAAAGCGGAATGAGAAAGTTTGTAAAGTGATGTTTTGCTCAGTGACTTTTGTGATGAATAATTTCTCTTAACTGGATTAGAATTATTTTTTAAGATCACAACTCTTATTTTAAAAATTGAATTAGTGTCTGCATAAAGGGCAGCTGTAGATTAGAATTGAAAAACAAAGTTCCAGAAAATGTTTTTAATTTACTAATTCAAACAAATTACTATTACTAAATTACTAATAATTACTAAACTAAAATGGACATAAGATATAATATGATGTTATTGAAGTGCATTATATTTTGATTTATTGAAATAGGACTTCTTTTCAAATACTGCCATTGTAAAGATAAGAATCCCAGACTTTTCCACCCCATCCATACTTAAGTTATTTGAGCTTAAAATTTAAAGTTTTTCTTTGAGTACTATGAAATTGTCATCAGAGTCCTTTTCAGCCTTGGAAGAAGCTAAATACAGATTTTTATTGATTACATAAATAGGATTAATTTTGTAAAATACCTCTCTAAACATTGAAGAAATTTTGTCATCACATATGTCAGTGTTTAGTCTGTGTTGGTAGAAGGAAGAAATATATAGGTAGGGATTGTGGTTTTTCTTTGTTCTAAGTTTGAAGTAGAAGGCAGGGGGAGGGTTGATCCTAATAAGTCTTTTTTTTTTTTTTTTTAAAGATTTATTTATTTATACAAGCACTGGGTACAGTCAGAAGCGCGAGAGGGTGAGAGAATTCACCAGAGCCAGAGTGGGGAACAGAACAGGCAGACTGACGATGTACACTGTTGAGGGGAGCAGCTGGCGGCAGGAGAGGTCTGCACGCCATGTGGGACCCTCACCGGCAGCCGGGGATCGAACCGGCGCTGCAAAGGCTGCGGGCAGCTTCATAGCCCAGCGCTCAACCGCTGCGCCACCAGGGGAGGCCCTGATCCTAATGTCTTTCATGAATTATGATCATCTCTGGAATTCCATATTTTAAAAAAGCATCAGAGACTATAGCAAGGTTTAACATTTCCAGAAACAACCTAGACTAAAGCTTATTCTGGGACACAATCTACCGTTTAACCTTGACTTGGTACATGGTCTCTCTTCCCAGGCCTGTGGCAGAAAAGCGTCAGAACTAGCAATGCATGCATTTGTATGAGCCATTCTCAACACATTTTCATAGAAACCTTAGTTTACCTCCTCTGCTTGCCTCCCCTATCCCCCTAAAAAATCTGGGAGATAGGTATTAGCACTAATTTATAGATGAGATAATGAGTTTTAGAGACCTGTAAAAGAATTTTCCAAGGTCATTCAGCTATAAACACCCCTTGTTCTGACTGGCATGGCTTTCCAACTTTCCCTTCAAGGAAGAGAGTGCCAGATATTCTGACAGCATAACTTATAAAAGGGCTATATTTGAGTGGAAGTACTACTAATTACTTGGTGGATTCTAGGATATCTTTGTTGGCTTCTAGGATGAAGCTTATAGAGGGACACTGTGGCCATGGCATTTGTGTTGAAGCAGTCAATCTATCTAGGCTGATCCCTGGTGAAATCCAGAAGCACTATGGTATTGGTATTTAACCATTATCTTTTTTGAAAGATTTTGAGAAAAAGCTTCAGTAAAGTTTGTTTTGAATATTAAAAGCAAAGCTTCTTATACATGTATTTATGTGGGGTTTAACATGTAAATTGTGCTTTTAAAGAGGTTTTTTCCTCTTTATCCTTTATATTTAATCAGTTTTTACCGAAAATTATACTTTAACAGCTGCTTTTAAGTGCACTTTCTCTGGATCTTGATTTCTTATGTTTTGATAAGAAAATTCCCTAAAGAAAATAGCAACAGTAACTTACGTTTATAGGGCAAGTTACATGTATCTGCCATCTAAGGATTGTTTACATACTTTGATTATCCCTACAAGATCTGGAGACAGAGAGCAAAGTAACTTGCCATAGGGTTTTACACAGGATTCTAAAGCGCTTCTAGACTCAGAAGCCAGTGTTCTTAACCTATGTACTGGACTGCCTCCCTAATGGAAAAGAGCTTTCTTTGTAGGAAAAGTAAGATGTTTAAAGTTATTAAGGACTTTGTCTGGTTCTCTATGTATTTGTTAATTGCAAAAAAATTTCATTGATTTAGATTAATTGAATTCACTTTCTACTAAGATGTATATATATAGTCCTGTCCCTCAGCGCATCTGGAGTCTCTGCATTGTTTTTGCCTTGAAGGTACTGGTTCAGGATAATGTGCAGCCAAAAAAGTCCTGCAAAATGCAGAGCATCATCAGGAAGTTTATGTGAAGCAGTCTTCATTCTTATTCAGGAAGGAAACTAGCTTTTATTATGTTGGATTATTACAAGTAAGAAAGTTAAAGATATAAAGTTCAGAGAACTTTGTTCTATATGAGATGGTTTTCTATATGAGAGCTCATTTTGAAAATAACATGATTTTTAAGTCAAACTGTTAATCATGAGAAGCTGGGATTAAAGAATATCAAGGTACTATCTCTTTTGGGAGAAAGATTTTATCAGTTGAAGTTATGTGGATGCTGTTTTCTGGGTTGATTGGTTTATGGGAATGTGGTGCAAGGAATAAAATGTTAACCACATGTGTGATATTTGATTGGTAATTTTCAAAGGATTAACTTAACTCATTTATTGCATATTATATGTTACTGCCACTAAGAATGTACCATTTGGTATGTTTTGAGAATCAAATGGCATTTTGGTATTTGATGTTATAATAAAAAGGGATAGATAGTTAATAATTCAGGTTTTGTGAACTTTTTTGCTTTTTGTTGTAATACTCTACTCTGTCCTGTAGTCTCAAAACACCATATACAATACATAAATGAATGGGTATGAAAGTGTTTAAAAACCAATTTACAAAACACACAGCAGATCAGATTTGGCCTGTAGGCTGAAGCTAGCTTTATGTTACTATGGGCATTGGTTTTATCAGTAAGTAGCAGTGCCAGTTAATAGAGGTTTCTGGTTAATAAAATATGATGTTTGGCACATAATAGGTGTTAGTAAATAAATGCTGGATGAATAATGACTTTTATTTAAAAGTATCGTTACTCCAGGTAGAGGTATAGTCTGAATATAGGTTTAAGACGTATTAAAAGAAGTTCATGTATTTCCCTCTATGCTAAAGTCAAAGCAGAAAACAGCTGGGAGGAAAAAAAACAGATGTAGGCCAGTAGGTTGGTAATTCAACTGGTGTGAAACCCACTTAATAATGTCAGCAAAAGCACTATGAAAATGTGAAACAGAAGGGAGCTTTGAGTCAGGAAAACCCAAGGTCAGCATAGGACTTTATTACTAAGGGAGACCATGGATTGATTGGTAGCCAGATTATTATTTCTATACCTCATTTTCCACTTGACCAGTATTATCTTTGAGATAAAATTCCTATAAATTGAATTGCTGGGTCAGAAGATTATATCTTTCAAATTTTTGTATATATTGCCTAACAGTTTTCTAAGAAAACTATACCATTTTACATTCCCACCATCAGTATTTAAGAATGCCTGTTTACCTAGCACCATCGCCACCCTAAAGATTATTCATTTTAGTTAGTGCCAGTCTGGTAGATAGGTAGGTTAAAAATTGGCATCTTAACTTAGACAATTTAATTGTGGAATATATACCATAGTTCTTGATTAAGAACTATTGCTTTAGTGGACTTTGACCTTTTTGAGCATAGGAACTGTTAATAACCATTGGGATTAGCATTTATTGGCCTTGGTAAATGTTTATTGAATTAAACTCAGTGGTTAAGTTCATGTCTGG